GATCTTTGACTTCAGAAAGCACTGTCCTAACAGAGAAGGTCTTCTGCAAAGAAAGCTCATAGCCACTTTACCCCTTTTTTAATTTACCTCAAAATTCATTACAGATGGCTTCAGATTAGCTGGAATATTCTGCATTTCATATGCTGAAGTAGTGCTTATAGCTACTCTGCTAGAAATTATTCCTTCTGGAAGAAGGTGGATGCATGACCATTCATTCCAGGATAATTTTTATATTTTTACTTGTTGTCAGTCCATATCCAAAAGTAAGAGGGAAAAGTCCTACCCCTTATTAAAAAGATTCTCTTTACATACATCCTTTCTCACTTGTTTCTGGCTACCACTGAGGAAACAAAACATGATTTTATGACTAAAAAAATTCAGTAATTTCCTAATGCTATTTACTTAGGGACCTGGCCCCACTGCCGTTGGCAACGTAGACAAACTTTTGTTCTGTTGCAACAGTGGGGTGGATTTGGCTGGTCCTATATGCCTACACTGCAGAGAGTCCTGCCAGAAATATGCATTTCCAGTGTTGAGCCGTGTCACCCCTAAGCACATACACGATGGGGAGGAAACATACACATCTATGGAGGTATGTTTGTAACTCAAATTATCATAAAATTTTCTACCATCTCATCCATGGCCAGAGCGATGATGGAACACACACAGCTCCCCCAGGGCCAGCAGCCCACCCTGGCTGTCCCCAGGTTGCTATGGATGGGTGGCAGCCCCAGGACCCCTGGGAAGACACAAGCTGGGTGGGCTGCTCTCACTCTGTGGAACTTTGGATGCTGAGACTATTATTTTATCACACTGAAGCTGTTCCTAGTGAACTTTCTTGAGGCTGTTCTTCCCCCGGGGTCGCCTGTGAAGGGACACGGCTTTCTGTTTGTCTTGGCTTGCCTGCAGAGGGGCTGGTTTCACTCACACCACTCAGACCTTACAGGCCAGCCTGTCCCTGTCCCTTCTTAAGGCAGGCAGCCACTTGCAGGCAAACGCTGCCTTCCCTCTTTGGTGCAGGGCACATGAGCAAAATTAATGAACCCAAGGGGACTGTTCACTGCCTCCCTGTGTACTGTGCATGGAGGGTGTCTTCAACCCCTGCATTTACGTACTGGTGCAGGCAGATAGTCATGCAATTATTTAGAGCAAACAAAAAGTACTAAAATTGGGACTTTCCTTTCAAGATACAGCAGGATCTGGAGTGCAGAGACATGTCCCTGAGAGTGTGTTCTTATTGCTTCTTCAACTTCTGTTTATACAATTTTACAAAATTTTGGCAGGAATCAAGAGCACATACCAGGGTGTTGGCTTTTATGAATCCCATGGGATGTGAAAGTCAAGCTGACTCGGTGAACTTTGGTTACATATTCCAGAAAAGCACAATGACTCTATTTATTCAGACTTGGCAGCCAGAATGCAGATTGACTCTGTGGGTAATAAATTTTCATAGCCACAAAACTTCAGCGGCAACCAACCTGATCCCGCGCAGAAAAAATGCATACAAGGAAGCAGACTTGGGTTGCAAAAATATGTTAGATTATTATTCCATGTATGCCTACCAGTCAGTTAATTTATTTGGCTATTGATTGACAAGAATTGCGCAAACGATGCCAGAGATCTTTTTCTCCTTAAAAGAACTACTTTCTATTACAAAATTTTCATGTTGTAAAAGGACAAGTAGGTGGGAAAAAAGAGAATTGATCATATTACAACTGACAATATCCTTTTAATATTTCACCCAAGGCTGATTTAAGTTATCCAGTGACCTCTACAGAGAAGAGCAGGGTATTAAAATGGGGACTGTTTCATGTGCTATGCCACACTTCAAGGAACCAAAAGGCAATAACCACCACACTTCAGTACTCTGAACAATCTTAAATACAATTTTGACATCTTCATGCTACAAAGCTTCAGATGCTTTCTGGGAGAAACGATGATGAAAATATTACTCTATGTGTTATAAATCAAAATGAATTGGCTCTTTAACTTGCAGATTTGTGTTAACTACCTTGGTATCTGTTAATTGCATGCTCTTCAGATATTGATTGGGGATTAAAAAGTACATTTTCTTCAATCTGTGTGATGTAAAATATGCCAACAGGAAATTTTCCTTCTGCATATTTGATCTTATGATCACTGCCTGTAAAATTGAAACGATGAGTTTAAATGGATAAACTATGCTCATTAAAGAAGAAAAATACATTTATGTAATTAAAATTAAGAGACTAATATGTGTGGATAATGTAATTACTGTCGGCGCACACACACTCAGCTCAAACACAGCCTCTTTTGCCTCTCCTGGGTCTGTGAATCTCACTACCTTAATTGCCAATGAGGAGGGAAGGGATGGGAATGCCTTGCCCACTGTGGTCCCAAAGCTCTTAATCATGCCTCTGTCTTGCATCTGGCCTTCGTCACTATGGCTCACATTCCCTGGGTCAGTCACAGGCCTCCAGATTCCAGCTCTGGGAGCACAGAGGCACCTGTCCCCCTTTGCACCACTTCAGAAACTTTCCGGTCACTGGTTGGCGATTTCCAACAGGAAAAAAAATTTCCTCCAAAGTTTTCAGAATCTTTCCCCTAAAATTCCCAGTTCAGAAATCAGCAAAATGAAAAGTTTCGCAGTTCTTGTACAGATCACCTTCGGCTCTTTCAGAGACTGGATTACCTAAATGAGTTTGATTGCTCAAAGGTTACATAAGAAATATCTAGGAATCACTCATGTACTGTTTCTATCCCTTCATCTTTGGTTTCTTTCTTTCCTGTTCTCAAGCTTAGGAGGAGATCTGAGATTAGACAGCCTCTGAATTAGAAAGTAAAATGACATGGGGTCTCCCACTGATATTTAGCGTAGGTTCATGTTATAATCTGTGCATTTATTGGCAGAGAGGACCTGTGTTATTCTTTTTTTGGACCCTATTTCCAACTAGGAAGATGGAAATGTAGTGTTTTGTTTATCCAGCAGGCATATTTATCTAGGATTGCTTGTTAGGCAAATCTTCAGATCTCAGCTGAGGCTCTACAAAGCATTTCATACAGCAGGAGCCAGCCTGTGCTTCCAGGAGATTTTTATCTGTACAGTCAAGTTAGAAAAAAAAGTGACTAGGAACAGGGACCAAATCACAAAGTAATTGCCGATGGTTGCTCATGCTAGGGCCCGTGATGATTAGAAGTGAGTAATGGGATCTCAGCTCTGCTCTCTGCTGCGTGTGTAGCAAGCTCTGTCTTGGCTCTGCAAAGCTTGTTTGAGCACTGGGGTGAAAGACCCAGGCTATACCAGCTGTACTTTAAAACTCTGCTTACTCAGCAAAGACCTTGTGTAGCACACATAATACTGAACAAGTCAAGTGCACGAAAGATGTTAACAGTTGTAAGTGCTGACACTAAACCGAAGGTACCACGTGTGTATGTCCAACCAGAAGCTGTTTTCCATGATCCCTTCTCCACTTAAACTTACTAATGTTATCTCCCACATGATAAACATTTTCACATGTCCTTTTCTGCTTGCTATGAAGCAAACCTGAATTTTAGCTCTCTGGCTCTGCCAGACTGTTTCATACTCACATCCATCGCCTTTCCAACCTGAAGAACAAGCCATCTCTCCTGATCCCTGGCTACTCCCTTTTGGTGTGCTATTGTTATTCTTCAGACATACTTTCTGTCCCTCACTTTACTTTGCCCTATGCTGTCTATGCACTGTATTTTAAACTATCTAGACAAGCAGGAAGAGTAATTAAATGTGAAGCATTTCAGGATGAAATACATTAAACAAAAAGAAATTCTATAAATATGTAAATAATTGAATTTATGTCCTGAATCTTCTGAACACCAAGAAGCTTTGCTCAAAATAGATGAAATAATGGTGTAGTATAAATATTAAAAGGTTTTTGATTTACCTGTTGTTTGGAATTATATTGTAAAACTGAGACTTCTAATAACAAGAGTTAAAGAAAACCCTGGAAGAGCTTCATGCCTACATACCTAGAATTTGTCTAAGATCCTGAATTTCAGAAGTCTAGATAGCTCCAGTGACCCCTCACTGAAATAATCATATTTGAAACCCTGTTACATCCAAGTCTGGATCCATCTGTGAGATGCAACCAGGGGCAGTACTTCCCTCATATGCTCTGTTGAAGGCACAGGGCATGCATTTTAGTACAAGAGAAAGGGAAGAGGCTCCTTCTCTCTCGTCCCCAACCCAATCGCCTCTGACAGTATTCTGAGAAGGAGAGAGTATGGCATAACTCTGCTTGGAAATGAGGCACTCAGCTGGCCATTGAAAAGTCAAGATCCACCTCTATTCTAGTGAGCTTGTAATAGTTAGAAAAAAAACATTGGGAGACACCTTCCCCCAGCAACAAACCCAGATCTCTCAACACACGGAATATTTGGCTGACATATCTGCTCCCAGCCAAGTAGTTTGGTGTCATTAAAACCTAGGCAAGTGCCCTAATTGCTGTGTTATGGAGTGAATCAAATGCACAGCTAAGGCTTTCTCCCAGCTGTCTTCAGCTTTCTTGGCACACATGGGCCACACAGAGACAGGACTGAAAATGCTCAGGGGAGAGGTGAGGACTGGGGGGATGCTGGTGAGGCTCTAGGCAGGTAAGAGGGAAAGTAGCCCAGCTGCTAATACTTGGGGCCAGCTCATGACAGTAAAGTTTGGCCTGAATCCTTAATCCAGAATTCCTGATTCTCCCTTCCTTGGCTGCTCTTTAAAACAAAACAAAATCAAATCAGGAGGAGGCTGATACAAAAACCTTCTGGGTCACATCAAGGTAATAAATCAAGAGCACTGCAGACTGTTCCCCACCAATCCAGCAGTTAGCACACACGGGCTGGCTCTGAGCAGCAACATCTGTTACTCCAGTTACAGTACTGCCATGTATTTTGATAACCTTTATGTATGTTTTGAAAAGCATTAGCAAAATATTTGCAGTAGCTCAGTTTCCACATGAAACATGCTACAAGTGACATGTTAGTTGAATGGTTCTTACCTGGTTATTCTCTTCTTCATCGCTGCTTAACTTGAGGTCATCTTCTAGCATTCTGGAAAGCAAGCAGTGAAATAAATTATAATTTACAAAAATGCTTCAGATTTGATATTTTCCTCTGAGCTACTGTAAACATTTAATAATTTAAAGAAAAAGAAAAGATATTTTATCCCAGAAACTGTAGCTGTGATACTTCATAATTTTTTCTTATCCAGTTGCTATCAACCAACTTCTTAATACATTTCCTTCTATTACTGCCCAAGGGAAAATGTTTACTAGAGTAATAATGGATTTTGCAAAGGTTCTTGTTATTACAATCACTGAAAAACAATTTTTGTATGCTAAAAATAATATTTTTGATGCTGACAGGTCAGTAGTCTCTCTGAAAGGAAAATTTTGCTCCTTTTGGCTTTCAGCTTACAAAACAGAAGTAGATATTTACACTGGCAGTACTGCAGCACAAAATAGATTCAATGATGTTTCCCAAAGGCCATTTTTACTTTATTGCATGTTTGATGTAAAATTGACATTGACTGAAACAATTAAAACCAAAATATATTGTCTCAGTGCACAGAAGAATCCACAAGGATTTCACTGTCACATAAATGTAAAAAATAAGGCTTCTTCCCTAATGGGGATTTCATCCTCCCTTCCCATATCCTTTCCTCAACTTGCTTAAACTGGCTCACAAAAAAGAGGAGCTTGTTTTTACCTCCAGGCATTTTTTTTTTACAAGCTGGGGTTAAGTAACCAGCAGTTAAAGGAGTTGAAGAGGTGGAAAGATTTCCCCCAGAACTTCAAAAGTCTTCAAGAATGGCACCTATTTTTAAAAAACGCCTCTGTTAATAGTAATAATAATTCAGAAAGTTGCTATTTTTTCCTGCGTTGTGGGAAAAGAGAATCTGCAATTTCATCTTGACTCCAGCAGAAAGCTTGGTGAGCAATTCAAACGTATCCTATGATGTGGGTGGTCCCTGGAGTGCAAATATCTCAGGAAGACATATGTAGTAATTTCTAAACCACCTCCTTGCTCTTGTGCCTAGATCTTCCAAGAGTATGCCTGAAAAGCGTGACACTTACATGGGCTACCCGGTGTGCTGTGTCTTAAAAGAGCACGGAGCATAACCACCCTCTCCTCAGCTCCTCACTATACACACAGTGCCTGCCTGTTGCTGCCATCACAGCTGCTTCCCTGTTTTCCCACAGCACCTTTTGGGGAACGTAGGTGTGTAGGAACAGGATTCAAGGTCAGAGCAGAAATTCCCACTAGTTCATCTCTTAAAGACTCTTGTCTTCCTATTCCCCCACATTTCCTTCTACTTGTGCCAAGATTTTTCCTCTGTAAAACCAACATATCACATTGCAATGCAGACACCTCAAATATATAAGACACCCATTGAGTTAGGGGAACTTAACAATCTCAAAGCAAGACTTGCTCGTGTTTTATCTGGAAATATGTCCACAGGCAGGAAAAAGCTTTCTCTGTCATCTCCCGAGTCAGCAAAAACTCAGTGGCTGTATCAATGCAGCCACCATCCAAGCTAACAAGCCCTGCTGAGAAGTGAGCAAATGGGACAGGTATGAATGACAGGATGTAACTCCTAGGAGCTAAAATATGTCAGAGAAGCAAAGCTTCCTGTAAATACTGCAAGATCCACATTGGCTTTGGATCCCAGGGAGCCAAACAATCTTACAATTGCTCAAACTGAAAAAGTTGGATCTTTTCAGGGCATCCTTGAGAAAATAGTGCTTGAAAACAGAAAGCTCAGATCTGGAACTGACCAGTACGTGATTAAATGTGATGAAATCGGCACTCATTGTGATTTAACCAGAGAGAGATGGTCTATCAACCTCTCCTTGCTTGCATGTTTTAGCCTGTCTTTATTTTTCCTGTCTGTTTCTCATTTCAGAAGCACTGCTCTCCAAGAAAAGCACTGCTTCCCTGGGGCTCATGGCCCCTTTTGGAACTACCAACAGAGTACAAACTATCTCCTAATGCTGGGGATAGGAAAAAACAGGTAATCATAAAACGCTTGCTTACTTGCTTGCTTTTTTTCTGCTGAGTGGAATCTGGCCTGTTTGATCCATGTATTTGTCATAAGGATCAGGCATCAGGTTAAGACAGCTTGCCAGTGTAGAGGTCTACCTTGTAAAGTCAGGAGCTGTGCAGGTATAGCCTCCACGCCTAAAAGTCTTCACTGATTTCAGTCATCTGAGGCCCTGAGACCTGATCTACAAAGCTACAGCCAGAGCAGGTCACACTGCCACTGGTTGCTTCAGCTTCACCTGCCAGCAGTCCTGGACTAGGAGACTCTGAACATGAGGCAGCTCTCACAGCCCAGGCTGAAGCATGGCCTGGGTGACAAGGAGGTATTTGTGTTATAGGGACTCCAGTAAGCTAGATCAGTTTTGAGTCTGGGTGCTTTTGAGGAACGCTTCTCCTCAACAATTCATTTCCACCATCACAATAGCGATTTAAAAAAGAAGTCCATATCTAGACCAGCAGACCACACTTGAAGATAGGCAAAAGAGAAGAAAAACACTTTAAGCTAAAGAGAGGCATTAATTTGTAATTTATCTGAAAAGCACTTTGGCGCAGATTCAGCACAGAAGGAGCTTTGGTACACCCTATGTTAGCAGAGAACTTCAGGTCATATTTAAATCAACCCATGTTCGGAATGAAATTTCTTTACATATTTTGGCAAACTAGTAAAAGGATGAACAGACGAACACATACATAAGGCCATGTGCAAATACAGCCTTTTCAACACAGCCTATCTATAGTTATTTTCTGTAACACCTTTTTCAGAATATGCAAAATTGAGGCCAGGAAGTGACATCGTTCATGAGCTTTAGGATTTTTTGGAATGGACTTGGCTTTGATGTGCTTGGGCACTGGTAAGAAGATGAGTAAATATAACTTTGTAAACAAAAGCTAGAAAAAGGAAATGGTACTCGATGCAGCTCTGAAAAGCACACACCACTACATAAGGGCTTCTGCACTTGAAAAGAGCACATGCGGTCAGGCAATCACTTTGCAGAACCTAATTACACATTTTTAGTGAAATCTCTGCAAGGTTGTGGAGGCAGCAAGGGGTGGGATGCTTGGATGGGACCGCTCACTGCACTCTAATTAATGCATTCGTTCCTTTCTCTGCAAAGAATGTGACAGGTAGAGACAAAATGAAAGGAAATGAGGATGAGTTTGGGATATTGAGGAATGCCTCAGCAAGCCACCTGGTTTCCTTCTCCAGTAGCCAATTAAGGGGTTGCAGCCTGGGGTGCTGGGCCACTCATTTACAATGGGAAAGGAAGAGGGTGAGGGGTTACTAGTCTTCTGGAGGGCACCGATATCCAACATCTGCCAATTTCAATGTGACTGCATGTCCAAATCTCCTACATAGCTCATCAGAAAGCCTGACCTGTTTTATGTGGGGGCTGCTCACTGTATTGTCCAGCAGGCTACTGAGGTGGGGTGACCACGGGGGGCACTGCAGAGGGACCCTGCTCACCCCAGCATGTCACAGGGCCGGAAGATGCTCCTGGTCAAAAGTACCCAGGGTTTTGGAAGGGAGGGCGTTACAGGCTTCCCAGGAACTACCTTGCTCAAAGGGAATGGTCAGGTTGAGACTTGCAACTTCACTCTTTCATCTGTCTGTCTTTTTTCCTGATTTGTTCTTGCTGGAAAGTCAAGACCCGAGCAAGGATCATGTACAGCACCAACCAAAGTCCAGGGGATGCAAGAAGACATCTAGTTTCCCCTCTGGGAAGCAACATCAGCTTTCAAGTGTGAGGGTAGAGCCAGGGCCCAGGTGAAAGATTTTGGGGTTTGAAAGAGCTGCAGGAGAAGGAGTTCCTGGGTAAGGGTTGTGGATTCGGATGTGGGTTGTGGATGGTATGGTGTCTAGCGGAGATGGTCTTCAATAGCCAGTTGGGAATCAGTTGCAACTTTTAATATCTGGAGCCAGTCTGAGACCCTTACAGCTTGGCCCTACTTAGCAGGATATGGATTTTCTTACAGGATGAAGACACAGACCCACAAGTCTTCACAGCTGCTGGTGCACATGAAAGAAGCAGCAGACTTAACACCTTGCTTTTTACTTTAACCTCTGATACATTTCACAGTCCTTGGTCTAATGAATTCTATCCTCTTTTCCCCCTTCCCCAACAAATTCCTCCCTGAAAATTATTTACGGAGGCATAAAACTCTCAAAAAAAATGCCTCTGTGGTTTTCTTTTGTGATTAGAGAGATTCTCTTCTGGCAAATAAATCAAATGACAAGAGAAGAGGCCCTAAAGATTTTCAAGAGAGGTCATGAAAATGAGGGAGAAACCCCTCCTTGCATCCCTCTGGGGTATCCTCTAAGCTACTATATGAGATATGGTCTTCATGATAATTTTGAAAATTAAAATGAAAAAAAATTCAAGATGGGAAAGAGAAAATATTGATAGTAATTAAATCATTAACACTAATGCTTCAGGAGAGAATATGGCAATGGTTTGCAAGCCCGGGGCGCAAATATATGTATGTTGCAATTGTCATTTAAATAAATTCAGAAGTCACCATCTTTGCAATTTGTGAAAGATCTCATGAATGTGTTAATCTGATCAAGTATATTGTTCCATTTTAATGCTAGGCAGCATCTCAGTCAGAATACCATGTTTGTTATGGACTTTTGTGATTTCTGCTCATTATGTAGGAAAGGAACTTCAGTAGTGGAAAAATACTTTGATTTTAGTTGAAGAGGAACCCCACAAAGCAAAGAGTTGTGATGAAATATGAAAATCAGATAACTAAGTGTTCCTTCGAGTTTGTGCCACCACAATGTTTCACTTGGTTTTGGGGAACGAGACTGGTTTTGGAAAATCATCTTATTTTTTAATGGACAATATTGACATTTTATTTTCCTTCCCATAAATGCACAGAGACCTTTCAAGAACTGGACATTAATTTCAATATTGCCAGAAGCTCAGAAAGAAAATAGATACTATTCTACGTAGCAGTATGCTAGAAGGTTCTCAGGCTGCCTCCAGATGTTTCAAGTCACAACTGAT